GAAACCTCCTGCCCAGCCCCATTCCACGGGCAAAGATGGACCAGTGTCAACCCCAGGCAGCTGTCTGCATGATGTCCTTGGAGTTTGGTCTGCTTACAGGAGTGGTGACATGGGGTGAGACAGACGTGATGAACAAGGGGAATAAACTGCAATGATTTTTGTGAAAGGACTGTCCTATTTGTGTGCATGTTTGGAATAGTGTTTCTCCAGGGGAAGGGAAGGGAAGGGAAGGGGAAAGGGGAAAGGGGAAAGGGGAAAAGGAAAGGTGAAAAGGAAAGGTGAAAAGGAAAGGTGAAAAGGAAAGGGGGAAAAGGAAAGGGGAAAAGGAAAGGGGAAACAGAAAGGGGAAAAAGAAAGGGAAAAGGAAGAAAAGGAAAGGGAAAAGGGGAAAAAGGAAAAGAAAAGGGGGAAAATGCAAAAAAGAAAGAGAAAAGGAAAAGGCATTGAAATTTTTTAAAGCAAAGCCAGCCTGATTAGTGTGTAGCTGCTTCCCTGCTCCTCGCTCATCAGGAGAAAGCATTGACATTATTTCATTGCTGCATTTATTCTCTTCCCCCTAACAGAGACAGACTTCTGTCAGCTCTGAACACTCCTGCTTTTTTAACGAACAGGCTTTTTATTAAAACAAAGCAAGTTCAGCAGCAGAGCTGGACCTTGCCGTGTGGCCTGGGAGTGATTTTGTTTTCTAGCCAGCAGCTCTGAGTTGACGAGGGCCATGGGGCAAAGGGTAGCTCGTAGGGGAGCAGTGGCTGGTGGTGGGGGGTGAGGGCTTCAGAGCAGAATTTGTTTGCTTGCCAGGGGGTAACATCAATCATCAGCAGCAGGATTTTCTCTGTCCTTTCTGCATTGTCACCCGGTTTCACACCTGGGGAGGGTGGGAGGGTGACCAGGGAGGTGGTATAGCTGAAGGCATGCATCCCATCGGCTGTCTGCCTTCCCTGAGCTCCTTACACAAACCAGTCTGGCTCAGCGGTGCCAGCATAAACCCAGACCAACCCCCCAAGAAAGCCAACGTGTGTGTCAGATCTGGATCTGGCCCACTGGCTCGTCAGTGCAATGTCCCTAATGACGCAGGATGCTATAATTAGACCCATGGAGGTGCTGACTTGCCTGAATCTTGCCAGTTTGCCAGATGGGCTTACCCTTTCCCTCCTGACCCCAGGTGTGGGTGTTGAAGCCAGAAAATCCTCACAAATGTGTGCACTGGGCTAAACCAGGGTTTCTGGGGACTTGGGATGGGGTGGGGGAGTTTCTGACATCCTTAGCCAAGGCACAAGTCCAGGGATCAGCAGAGCATCCCATAGGACTGGGCTCCAGAAGACCCCTAACCTGGATTTTCAAAGTGCTTGTGGAGTGTTTTTTGGTTTTCTTGAATAATTTTATGGTCCAGCCTCCTTCCACAGAAGTCAGGTCATGGATCGACCCTCTAGGCTCTGTTCCTCAAGGCAAGGAAGAACAGTGTGAAGCAGCTGCCTAGAGGAGGAGGACTGAGTAACTTAGAAAAGTTACTTGAGAAAGGACCTTAAGCCCAATTCTTCCAAATGGACTGAGGCACCTAATTCCTACAGAAATCGCTCAGCAACCCCGTGCACCTAGAAAACGCATGCTGAGGCACTGACCCAACTGGGAACATGATTCTAGTGGCTCTCAAACCTCCAGAAACACCCTTATATTCAACCCCACCCAAACACGTGGCAGGTGCCTTGTCCTCCCTTACCTGTCCACGCTGATGATGCACAAGGTCATGATGGAGGCGGTGCAACACATAACGTCCATGGCGATAAACACGTTGCAAAAAACCTTCCCAAAGAGCCACTCTCCCCCCACCAGGTCTGTGATGGTCACGAAGGGCATGACAGCGAAGGCCACCGACAGGTCGGCAGCTGCGAGGGACACCACCAAGTAGTTGGAGGGCTGCCGGAGCTTCTTGACGATGCACACAGAGATGATGACCAGCCCGTTGCCAGCGATGGTCATGAGGATGATGATGGAGAGCACCACACCGATGACGATCTTCTCGGTGTCCCCATAGAGCAAGATCTCCTCGCCGCAGTCCGTCGTGTTGGTGAGGTTGGAGGACGGCAGGTCTGGCTCGGTTGGGACGGAGGGTTCCTCAGTCATGAATGGATTCGGGAGTGATTTCTGAGCCGGGTGCTGCTGCTCTGCGTTCTCCACAAAGAGAAGATGGTGATCCAGAAACCGCCTGGGGCTGACCCTTAGCAACATGCTCTGAGCTCACCGCAGCGGGCAACGGCACGAGTTTCCTCCCAGCGATGACACCTCCAGTGACAAACCAGAACATTTTCTCACAAACGGGCTAAGAAAATAAAATATCTCCCCCTTCCACACACCCCCCCCACCCCCAGCGCTTGCCTCCCAAAGCTGCGGCTGGATCTCACGTGCTCAGCAAGAAGCTGCTTCCCAAGTCTGCTTCCAGACACACAGTTTGCTGGAGGATGCTCAGAGAAAGCTCATCTCCACTTTGAAAGGAGCACAAGGAACAGCTGCCCGGCCGGCTGCGTGCCTTTCCAGAAGGACAGATAACGGCAGCCGATCATAACCGCCCGTGTTATTATGCGTTACTGCCGAGCTGTGCTCTTGCACTTCTGCTGTGCATCCCTCCGTTTAAATCCCGTGCAACCACATCCATATTGCCGCATGTGAAGGTAGAAGAGTATGTGCTGACACGAGTCACGGCCGCAGACGCGCGCACACGCATCACCGGCTGCATCTCCTGCGTGCGCTAACACATAAACTTCAAAGCCGTGACTGTAAAACCATGCACATGGCGCGGAAGGGCAACACGCGACCGTTACCTACCCACGGGAGAACAGCGTGGGTTGTGGTGGGAGCGTATCCACAGCACGCAGAACCCCCAGGGTACCACGCACAGTCCAGGCACCCCAGCCCGTGCCCAGTGCCGTGAGCATCACCACCCCACGCGTGGCAGAGGTACAC